AAACAAGGTTGCCCCGATACAACAAAACAACCAAAAATAAGATGATTATTTTCCCTCTGTAAACTAGAATACAAAATAAATCAAAAGATTAGAGGAAAAAGGAAACAAAAGTTTGCATAATGATGCAGTACCCTAAGTCTTCTCTGCGAGGATTATATATATTTTTTCATATATATATATATATATATATATATATACATATATATATACATATATATATATATATACATACACATATATATATATATATATATATATTACGTAAGTCTAATTTCTTTCTCGTTTCTCCACCCCTAACAAGAAAAACTCATAACAGCTGATTTTCAACATCAGAATCGGTAACATTGAGAGGACAAAGCTCCCCTGTTTTGAGTTGAAATTGTTGCCAAAATAAAACACAGATTCTGTGCGAAGTTCATTCAGATATGACCAAGAATTAAACAGGGGGGGGGGGTGTGTGTGTGAGGGGTGGCGGTGGGGGGGGTAAGGTTCAACATGAAGGCAAATCAGACATATATCCAGAACGACATATATCTTTTTTTTTTTTTCTTCTTTTTTTTTTTTAAATTATGCTTCAAATAAATTAAGGGGGATTCTTCCCAAAAAATCCTCCCAAAATCTAGCTCTACCATTTTTTTTGTTTTTTTTTGCCATAGCGTTTAAAACCCGAAACAACACGTCGCTGTAGCAGAAGTACACAAAACATTTCCCAAACATAACAAACAAAAAATGCCTCTCTTGTCTCGGGCCGCTGCAGCCTAAATGTTGTTATATTTCATTCTTTGTTCGATCAAAAAGGAAGGAGGGAAGAGGGGGGGAAAGGGAGGGAGGGGGAGGGGCAAATGAAAATATCTCAAATTGTTCATAATGTACACATAACATACGTCACAGGCTTAAAATCTTGAAACAGCATTTTGTGGATATTCACTTTTAAATCAGACCATTTAAAACATGGATCTGCCGAGGGGCGGGGGGTAGCTTAATTATCCGAAGGGAGATGGGGGTATAAAAGGGGGTTTTTCTCTGGTTCTGATCTCCTCTATTTGTGTCACTACCATCTAACCCTTCCGACACAACGAAGACCTCTTCTGAAGGCGCCTTTCTCTTTTCTTTTTGGCTCCGTCCTCACTGGAATTTAAAAATAAATAAATCTTAAAAAAAAAAAGGGAGATAAGATGGAGGGAGAGGGTGAGGAGGTTTTGGAAATTTGCTTTTACTCGTGGGCGGAGGTTTGTCCAGGAGGTTTCTGTGATTACGAGAAACTGCTACATGTTGGTCAATGGGTCAGTTGTCACGGTGATGGATGAACCGAAAACGCCCCCGATACAGGAAACTCCAACCATCTGGTGATTCGAGCCAAGATTAGTCCATTAAATGATCGGCGGGTAATTAATTGTAATCGATTAATCGTTTATCGAGCAGAAAACTGATAAACAATTGCCTTTTTTTTATCTTCTCAAAGTGAGAATCTGCCGGTTCATCATTGTACACTGAATATCTTTGGGAGTGGGACTGTCGGTCGCTGTTGGCTTTCTGGCACCGTTTTAGACTGAACGATTAACTCATCAACCGTATGGACAATCAACAGATTAATCGATCCAACGTGTGAATGGAAGTCGCTGCACTGAAATCATCTTGTTAATAGCTTCGTTTGGTTCACATGCTACAATATATCAAGATACAAAACAAAATAAAAAAAACACAAGAAGGGTGTTAAATGTGAAATATTTGTTTCGCAGACTGGTAAAATATCTTTCAACAAGATTTTAAGTGAAACTTTTGAAGCCCCTGAAGTCCAGGAAGATTTTGTTTAATCTTGTGCAAATATTTTATTTTATTTTATTATGTTTTGACAGCTGATTTGTAACTGCTGCTTTAAGTCACACCAAAAACTCAGGTGTAGTTTTGCAAGTAGTGAATCTTTGTCTTCAAGCTTCATAGTTTTGAGTTTATGTTCATTTATCTTTGTTAAAGCGACTACAGCCCTAGAACCTGCATCACACAGCAGTGATGATTTTAGTGCCAATTTTTCCACTAAGACTAACTTCCAGAAATGTTTAGATGGTCGGAGACGGTAACTGAGAATTTGGTTCAACCAGATGTGCGGAGTTCGCTGCATCTGTGGAGCCCAGTCCAACTTCCGACAAGAGCGTGTGCGTGCTGCTCTCCAAACGGGTTAAACCAGGCCATAACAATTATTTAGAGATACCTCCGCTCCAATCCTTCCACTCCCTCCCTGCTCAGCCTCCCTGCTGTGCGGGACGCTGCAAGGACGACAATGATGCGTCCCACACAAAGGCGCAGCGAGAGTGACAGGCCTTTATCCGTCCAAACAAATTAAAAACAACAAAAAAAGAGTGGGCTGATTTTTTTTTTTTTTTAAAAAAGAAAAGAAAAAAAAATCAGAAACAGGGTGAAGATAGCATCAGATGAGTGAACACTGAACAAAACATTGAAATTCTGTGGGCCTACGTTAGCTGTCAGTCTGTGTGTTAAGCACATTTCTCTCTATGGGAACAGTGGTGTGGGTAATAGTCATGGGAGAGTAGCGAGAGTAGAAATGCTAAATATGGGCGTTTCAGTCTGTTAAACTGTGAGAGGGAAGAGGCAGCAAGCTCCGGCTAAGACTGACTGATGTGGGTGTTCGCTGTCTGTCCAAATGTCTCTGTGTGTGTGTGTGTGCATCTGTCCTGTGTGTGTGTGTGTGTGTGTGTGAGGTTGTAACAGGGCAAGTATGTCCAGCGCGCTGCACCTGGGGCTGGAGCTCAGGTTACTGGAAACCTCTTTACGTCACCCAGAGCCAATGACGAACACCCCAGCATGCATATGTGTGTGTGTGTGTGTGTGTGTGTGTGAGCGAAAAAATCCCGGACGTCATCAAGAGCCGCTGACAAAGAGCCGAACGAAACGGGGACACAGGCCTCGCCTAAATAAGGCTGCATGACTACTCCATGTGTGCGTATGCATTGGAAGCCACCGCATGACTATGACATGTGTCTTCACGATGTACAGGTGTGCATGTGTGTGTGTGTGCGTGCATGCATGTGTGTGTGTATGCCACTGCCTCCAAAGTACAGTATACGGTTCACTTGCAGAGATTTCATATGTGCATTAGCTTGTGTTTGCATCCCAGTGTCAACGTCTGTACTTTGTGCTTTTACCTTTCACAGCGTTTTGTTTGTGTGTGTGTGTGTGTGTGTGTGTGTGTGTGTGTGTGTGTATATAGACGACACTCTCCCACCATAACCTGAACTGTGCTACGGACCGTATGAGGTAAAACTGAAAATGTAAAACAAACCGAACACCTGCTTCGGTTCACTCAACAGCTCCTTGTGCAAAAAACTGAATGAGATGAGCCGAGCGGCGGCAGCAGCAGGGCGGGAAAACCACTTCTTCTATCCACCGGCCACAGCAGCTGAGTTTCATAAACCTCATAAACCTTCCTTTTTTCTTTTTTTAAAGGAATAGTTCTGCATTTCAGGAGAGACGCTTATTTGCTGTTCTGCAGAGTCTTATGCCTTTCCAACATGGAGCTGAAGCCAGCAGCTGGTTAGCTTAGCTTAGCATAAAGAGTAGAAATGGGGATAACAGCTGGCCTGCATCTGTCCAAAGCTCACTAATTAAATTAATTATATGTCATTCGTTGCTGTGCAGGAGCTGAAGTTTTATAGAGGGACAGGTGGTGACAAGGCTTCAGGAAATAGTCCCGTTCATAACTCCCTGTAAAAATTTGTTGATTTCAATTTTTGAATGGATTAAACAAACAAGATTAAAAGTGTTGTCACATTTGGACAGAGCCAGGCGATTTCCTCGCTCCTAGCTTTTGTGCTACGCTAAGCTAACCGGCTAACGGCTGCAGCTTCATATTTACCATACAGATACAATAAATCTTCTCTCGGCAACTGGGCAAATAAACTTATTTCCTTAAAATACTGAACTATTCCTTTAAACCTCGAGTTGGTTTTCTGCACGGTGGCTTGTAAAAGGAGACAGAATTAAAAGTGAAAACAGACAAAACTTTCCAGCATTCGATTGGTGGCTGACGTTATTCCCCCGCCCTGCTCGAGTACCATCTGTGTCATGATAGCAAACAAAAGAAATGTCGCTGGAGAATTTGTACCTACTGCAACAAATAAATAACACGTGCTACACAATATGAGGAAGAGTAATGCTTGAAGGTTTTTTTTTTTTTCCCCCATTGAATCAGTACACTATACTGGCGCAGTGCCGCAGCTCTGCTCCCCAGCTGTGTTGTAGAACTGGCCCCGCTGAGGCGATGGGTGCTAATCGTGTCACTGATCGTGCGAACGCCATGGAAACTGGTGATCCAAAAAGGCTGCTGGTACCTGATGCGGAGAAGTACGGGAACAAGCACGGTACTTGTGCAATGCCGCTTGTTGACTCTGAAGCTAATATGGATCCAGCTGTGAGCTTGTATCACTTTTAACAGGGGGGGGGGGGTTGGGGGGTGGGGGGGATCCATTCAAGAAAAAAATATACATTTTTCTACCACAACTTTGTCCACAATGTAATAACTGTACGGTACCGTATTGAGGATGGATTATTGCATGGGGTAAAAAAAAAAAAAAAAGTATATTAATAAAAAGATAAAAATTAATATTTAACATAAAAGTTTCCAAGTCTGTACCATAATGCCTTTGCTTCGTATTCCAGCCTCCCTTTTTTTTTTTTTTTTTTTTTTTTTAATACCGTATGGAGAAGTAGAACAATCTGATAATAAGACTATCTACGGTTCTGTTGACGCCCCCTCAGTCAAAGTCCACTGACCGCTGTCTGCTGAATAAGTCTTTTGAACACGAGGGAGTGGGGGGAGCAGCGCACACTGGCAGCATCGATTGTGAAGGAGGGGGGGAAATTATTATTTTTTTTTTTTTAAAACAAAAACAGGACAAGATATGTATATAAAACGCAAGAAAAATAAAAGATGAAATACACTTAAAAAAAAAAAAAAACTGCAAGCATTTTTGTCATCTGTTGTGATGTTGTTGTTTGTTTTCTGCGTCCAGAAGGGAGCGGCTTCTCAGTCTGGGTGAAGGTCAGAGGTCACCGGCGCGGGAGGCCAAAGGTCACAGGCAGAGTCAAGTGCCCCGAGCAGAGAGATGAGGAGGAGGAGGATGATGAAGAGGAGGAGGAGGAGGGTGGGGAACCTCTGTCGTCCTCGCTCAGTCTGAGAGAGAGAGAGAGAGAGAGAGAAACACAGAGAGGTTGTACGTGAGTAAATAAACAATAAAGCTCAAGTTAGAGTAACTATAAGATGGCAGCACATTTTGAACATATTATTCAAATCACTTACAAACAATAAATCACTAATAATCATAATAAAAGCCAAAATACAGTTATATAAAATGCCAAAAAAAAAAAAAAACCTCCATCAAATACAGCTGGGCAGGAAATGGAGGATTTACTGCTTTGAATGTTGACTCTGTTGATGACACGACACGGAGCACATCTTGACTTGAGTTGAATTAAACTAAAATATTATCAGATGTTTGTGCTGCAGCAAAAAAAGAAAGTCGACCTCGGCCACCTGAGGGTGGAGGAGCTGCAGCGCCCGCCGCACCCCTAGTTTTACAGGCACCAGTGTGAACCCACAGAGCGTGTGTGTTTGCTATTTGTACTTTTATCAGGAATAATTCGACAGCAGCGGATCGTGTTATCAAGTTTTAGAAGTCATTTATTCCTCCATTTTCTTCTCCACTCTTCTCTGGTAATGTAAAATAAAAAAGCTCAAATGACAGAAAACTAATCAGCAACGATTTTATACTTAAATATTCAGCAGTTTTAGCTTCTAAACTTCGGCACTTTTCTGCTTTTTCTTCATCTTATGTGACAGTAAAGGTGTTTGGGGTTTGGAGACTTTAGGTTGGACAAAAACAATCATGAGAATAATCGACAGATTCATCGTTAATGAAAATAATCACAGTTGTTATAAATAGGAAGCTTTCATAGGAGTGACAGCTACTGTGGCCGATGGGGAAAAAAAAAACTGTTGTTTTCTATTTGCCTGATGTGACCCACACACACACACACACACACACACACACACACACACACACACACACAAAGCAGCTGGAATGTGGCTGCTCCGCTGACAGTGGTTTTGGACTGACAATATTAGTTGTTTTTGGACATTTTGAAGCCTAGTGGTGCTGACTAATTTTGACTGGAATCTGTCTGGCTTTGGGCTCGGCCTTTCAAACACGGCGGAAACCTCACTTCAGCCAACTCTGGGGGTTGTCTGAAGGGTTACAAGGTCCTCCGTGGGCCGAGCGGATTGTGAAACCTTATAAAAGCCCACTGTTTCATCACAGAAATCAGCAAAAGGAGGTTTTTTTATTTTGAAAATGTAGGTTTTTTTCCCCCCACCTGACAGCGGTGTTTGGGTCGACTGAGAAACCACCAACTACACTGGTAAATGAACTGCCACTAAAGTCCTTTTTTCTTAAAAGGTTTATTTCACACAGCAGTGATATGAAAAGTGGGTGAAGTTATGGAACCGAGCTGCAGTTCCCTGGCAGCAACAAACGCCTGTAATCACGGGGAAATCTAAGCGTGTTTTGGCTTTTGCACAACAGTTACTGAGGTATGTTCGCTGTGTCAGAGCTTTTCAAAGACGCAGCACAGATGTAAGACATCTCTGACCGAGTGGGCGGCTTGGCTCAAACTACTCGTAAAAAAAAAAAAACTGTTTGTCTGGTAAATAAGTGAGCGTGGACGGTGAACTTTGGATTCTGCTTGCTTCCTGCAGACAACACATGAAGTTTGTTTCCTGCCTTGCTATCATGGCCGGGCCCCGGGCTGTCAGGTTGGCTGTTTTGGTGCGGCCCGGCGGCCCCGAATGACCCTGGCGATGGCCGCCGTCCAGCTGGGTTATTCCACTGAGAGCAAGGCTTTGTCTGACACAACAATGTGAGCAGCACGCCACAATACAGATGCTTTGACAGGGGGCACTGCTGGAATGCTGCTCCTCTGTTTGTTAGCCACAGGGATAGAGGGAGAGATGAACGGACGGACTGATAGAAAGACGAGAGCGCGCGGGGAGGAGAAGTTAACGCTGCACGGACTCGGCACAGCCTAAACACAATCTGCTCCGACCAAAGAAAAAACACCAAGCGCTGCTCGTCTGCCACCGACACTCAAAGTAAACTTCAGCGCCGGTTAGACAGTAACAACGTGTCACCGTGAGTGACCAGAAACGGAGACAGACATCGACTAATTACAGACTGAGAAAACCACAACCTGGACGTTGACACTGGTGGACACAGACAAACCTGGCAACCGAGAGTAAACAGGTTCATTTCTGCCAAAAACAAGAGGCAGAGGCAGAACAACACGTCCCGCTACGGCTGAAACGAACCGTTATTATTATTCTGCTGATTGTTTTCCAGACTGATTAACTGTTTCATCTCCAAAACATCAGAATTCAGTGAAACATACACATCCCTATTTCTCAATGAAATGTCTTGTTCTGTACGAGCAACAATTCAAAACTCAGATGTATTAAATTTACTACAACATTAAGACGAGGAAAGTAAATTCTCCCTTTTGAGAAGTTTGTCAAATTTAACTTAAACAAGTCAAAACCAAGCGTATGACCGGACGGCGTCATATCTGAATTCAGCCTGGTGTTTCAGCTGGTTTCTTTTCTATCTTTGTCTGTTTGCTCCTCTCCTCCTCTCTGCACTCACACATACAGTAATATAATACAGCCCAACTCCCAATAAAGCTGTTCCTATTTACATGTTTTTTCTTCTTCTGTTCTCAGACAACAGAAGAAGTATGAAGTATTGACTGAAACGTGGCCCGTTGAAGCTACACGTTAACTTCCAAGACATTTCCAAGCTGCTGTTCTGCTGCTAAAAAAAAATCCTGATTTTTTTTTATAACCGAGACGTCGTCTGACAGAATCATGACACACATGAGTTAAACACAAACACTTGGTCAGCATAGAGAGGTTTGTCCGTGGAGTGAAAGTCCCGACCTCGCACTATCTATCTTAAGTCGATGTATTTTCCTTTTTCTTTTTTTTTTGAAAAGAAGTTGCTAAATGTGTCTGAAAAGTCATGAAATCCAGCAACAAAGGTGCTGAGTTGGCGCCAAATCATTTTTGGAAGACCAACAACCAATGGGGAAACACCAACAATCTGCTTTTTGACCGATGGTGTAACCTGATCACTCACTCAGTCAGTTAGCGGCATTCAGTCGACTGTCAATCGACTAATCAACTAATAGTTGCAGGTCTACTTCCTGCTTCAGTGCAGCCTGGATGAAGACAGAAAAACCCAAGTTCGTCACCAAACTAAAAGTCAAACACCAAGAGATCAACACACTCTCCAACCTAAAATTCAATATTTACCTGAGGGAAAAGCGACATTTGCTGCCAAAGGAGCAAAAAGTGTCAGAGCGGAAAAGAAGCAGAACAACATAAGAAACTATTTATATCATCTGATCATATACATATTCGCAGCACACACACACACACACCACAACACACACACACACACACACACACACACACACACACACACACACACACACACACGGACATGAGAAGTGATCTTGGCTTGGAAAAGCATGGTGTCTGTATAGTGTGCAGTGATGTATTATGTGCAAGGTGCATGTAGTGTATAAATATATATATATACATATATATATTGTGGGAATGTTCAAAGCAGTCGTCTTTGTTTTTCTTACATCCTGAATCGTTACACTTTACACTGTAAACAACAAGCTTCGGCAAAACTGTGCTTCATTATGGTCACGACAACAACGACGGACTTGAATTTCAATTTGTGTGTGTGTGTGTGTGTGTGTGTGTGTGTGTGTGTGTGAGAGAGGCCGATTGAGAGAGCCGTGGAGGGAGGGAGGGGGAGAGAGAGTCTGAGGTCTCTGGGTTTCTCTGCAGTCCATGCGTGGACTTTGATCAAAACAACGCTCTTAGGACACAGGCCCGACTGACCTGAACTGACCCCAGTTAAACACACACACAAACACACTCGCCACAAAATCGGGTTATAAAAACACCATTTGCCAAACACCTGCATTAGCTAACAGCTTGTTGTGTCATTGCAACACAGGCAGGTGTTCAGAGCCGTGACCGTCTCTCTCTCTCTCTCTCGTTCTCCCTGGTTCAACCTGCCCTCCCCGACCCGCTGCCCATCTCTCTCTCTCTCTCTCTCTCTCTCTCTGTCCCTAAACCCCATTCACCCAGCTGGGACAACAGATGAAAGGCATCGTGGGAGTGAACAGCGAGCGTAACGCGTTGACCTGACACGGGCCGGTGTGACAGCTGGGGCGACGGCCTTTTAAGTGCATATCGAGGAACTCCAATTCCATCGGGCGCCTCGAAAACTTCTCGATCTCCTCCTCAAAGATGCGGATCGCCATTTAAAAACAGTTTTTCAGCTTCAGCTTTTTTTTTCTTAACCACAGATTCTAGGTTTGAGTTCACTAGAGCAGCAGTTGGGTGGGGGACTTGTTTTGGTCTTTTTCCTTTACGCCCTGAAAAGTGGAAAAATATTTGTGTGAAAAGCTGAACCCTGATCAGGACAGGTCCAGATAGGACTGAAAATCTGCTCAGAGACAAATCATCACATTTCGCTCTGTAACAATAAATGTAACAAACATTTTTATACAAAGACGAATTCATCTCTTTTTCCAGACCTTTGAATCGCTGCCCTCGTCTCATGTTTTTTCCAGTGATTCAAACGGCTCTGATGTTTCCAATGTTGGAAAAACATTCAATCAGAGCTTTATAGACGGGATAAAGAATGAAGAAGTCATCTTCCTGCGTCAGAGCCAAAAAAAAAAGAAAAAGAAGCTATAAAAGATGGTCACAAAATTGGCAGCAAGCGTGGACGAGACTGAATCAGCTACACAGGTTGTTGCAAGATGAGACGCATAAATAATAATGTCATAAATTGACATGTTTCTTTGATCAGCATGACACCGATAAGTTAACCCGCATCTGTGTCAGTGAAAATTACTTTGATGGGACGACAAACATTAACACAACGTGAAGCTGAATACTGAAGGAAAAGAGCAGGACGGGTCAATTATCAGGCTAATATATTAAATGTCAGTAGTTGTTGAAGTGTCAGTGATAAATAAAGATTTTAAATATGATAAAAAAGAAAAAAAAACTTTAGTTAATTAGTTTTAAATAAA